GATAAGGGAGAGATAAGGGAGAGATAAATGATTTTGGGGTGATAACTGCTCCCGGTCCCGTTCCCGGTCCCAGTCCTGGTCCCAGCAGCCCCAGGAGTGCAGGGACTCTGCGGGGACATCAGGGGTGGCACTCAGGGGACAGGGACACCTTGGTGCCGTTCCTATTCCTGATCCTGCTCCCGTTCCCGTTCTCGGTCCCGTTCCCGGTCCTGCTCCCGTTCCCATTCTCGGTCCCAGTCCCACTCCCGATCCCGTTCCCGGTCCCAGTCCTGGTCCCAGCAGCCCCAGGCGTGCAGGGACTCTGCGGGGACATCAGGGGTGGCACTCAGGGGACAGGGACACCTTGGTGCCGTTCCTATTCCTGATCCCGCTCCCGTTCCCAGTCCTGCTCCCGGTACCATTCTCGGTCCCAGTCCTGGTCCCAGCAGCCCCAGGCGTGCAGGGACTCTGCGGGGACATCAGGGGTGGCACTCAGGGGACAGGGACACCTTGGTGCCGTTCCTATTCCTGATCCCGCTCCCGTTCCCAGTCCTGCTCCCGGTAGGGGACAGGGACACCCCGGTGCCACTCCTGATCCCATTCCCGTTCCTGTTCCCGTTCCTATTCCCAATCCTGGTCCCATTCCCAGTCCCAGCAGCCCCAGGAGCGCAGGGACTCTGCGGGGACATCAGGGGACATCAAGGGGTGGCACTTTGGGGACAGGGACACGCTGTCCTCTTGTCATAGCTGCTCGCGGCCATCTCGTACTTGGTCACTTCAAACGTGTCCCCAACACCCCTGATGTCCCCAGTGTCCTCAGTGTCCCCAACACCCCCGATGTCCCCAATGTCCTCAATGTCCCCAACCCCTCAATGTCCCCAATGTCCTCAATGTCCCCAACCCCTCAATGTCCCCAATGTCCTCAATGTCCCCAGCCTCTCAATGTCCCCAATGTCCTCAGTGTCCCCAACACCCCAATGTCCCCAATGTCTTCAATGTCCCCAACCCCTCAATGTCCCCAATGTCCTCATTGTCCTCAACACCTCCAATGTCCCCAACGTCACCACCTCAATGTCCCCAAGGTCCTCAACATCCCCCAGTGTCCCCAATGTCCCCAACCCTTCCAATGTCCCCAACATCTCCAACGTCCCCAACACCTCAAACACCTCCAGTGTCCCCAAATCCCCCAATGTCCCCAAACCCCAACATCCAACAGCTCCAATGTCCCCAAACCCCAGAGTCCCCAACCCCTCCAATGTCCCCAACCTCCCCGACGTCCGCGATGTCCCCAAGGCCACCTGTCCTCTTGTCGTAGTCGCTCTCGGCCATCTCGTACTTGGCCACTTGTGACAAGTCCCCAGCGCCTTTGATGTCCCCAACCCTTCCAATGTCCCCAGACCCTCCAATGTCCCCAACCCCCCCGATGTCCCCGATGTCCCCAAGGCCACCTGTCCTCTTGTCGTAGTCGCTCTCGGCCATCTCATACTTGGCCACTTGTGACACGTCCTCGAACTGCCCGGCGCGGGCCCCGCTCCGGTCGGTCACCTGCAGGGGGGTGGCACTGTCCCTCAGCGGGGCCATCCCCACCCTGGGGACAGCGGGAGGGGACACGGGGGGACAGGGTGACACCCACGTGCACGCGGCAGCCGTCGGTGACGGGGTAGGAGCCCAGCAGGGCCTCGTCACAGTCCAGTGTCCCCAAGGGCTCGTCCTCGGCGCCGAACAGCTCCAGATCCATGCAGGACGCCGGGGATCCCACCACCAGCTCCAGTTTGCACTGGGAGGGGACATGGGGACACTGGGGACACCGGGAGTGGCACTGGGGACACCAGGAGTGGTGCTGGGAGTGTCACAGTCCAGTGTCCCCAAGGGCTCGTCCTCGGCTCCGGACAGCTCCAGCTCCGTGCAGGACATGGGGACCCCACCAGCAGCTCCAGTTTGCACTGGGAGGGGACATGGGGACACTGGGGACACTGGGAGTGGCATTGGGGACACTGGGGACACCGGGAGTGGCACTGGGAGTGGCACTGGGGACAATGAGACAGTCCCAGCCCAGTGTCCCCAAGGGCTTGTCCTCGGCACCGAACAGCTCCAGCTCCATGCACGATGCCGGGGACCCGACCAGCAGCTCCAGTTTGCACTGGGAGGGGACATGGGACACTGGGAGTGGCACTGGGGACACTGGGGACACTGGGAGTGGCATTGGGGACACTGGGGACACCGGGAGTGGCACTGGGAGTGGCACTGGGGACAATGAGACAGTCCCAGCCCAGTGTCCCCAAGGGCTCGTCCTCGGCACCGGACAGCTCCAGCTCCGTGCAGGACATGGGGACCCCACCAGCAGCTCCAGTTTGCACTGGGAGGGGACATGGGGACACTGGGAGTGGCACTGGGGACACTGGGAGTGGACATAGGGACACCAGGAGTGGCAACTGGGGACACTGGGGATGGCACTGGGGAGTGGTACTGGGGACACTGGGGATGCCACCAGGATCCCCCCAGTAGCTCCCAGTTTGCACTGGAAGGAGACATTGGGGAATCCCAGTGGTCCCAATTTGGGCTTCCAGTTTGGGGTTGGGGGATCCCAGTTTGGGGTTTGGGGGATCCCAGTTTGGGGTTTGGGGGATCCCAGTTTGGGGTTTGGGGGATCCCAGTTTGGGGTTTGGGGGATCCCAGTTTGGGGGTTGGGGGATCCCAGTTTGGGGTTTGGGGTTCCAGTTTGGGGTTGGGGTATCCCAGTTTGGGGTCCCAGTTTGGGGTTTGGGGGATCCCAGTTTGGGGTCCCAGTTTGGGGTTTGGGGGTCCCAGTCCCGGTTCAGCATTCCCGGTTTGGGATTTGGGGCTCCGGGGTTCCTGGTCCGGTTCCCGTTGTCCCGGTCCCAGTCCTGTTCTCTCTGTCCCATTCCCGTTATCCCGCTCCCCATTCCCATTCTCCCAGTTCCGTTCCCGTTGTCCCGTTCCCATCATCCCGGTTCCGTTATCCCAATCCCATTATCCCAGTTCCATTTGGGAGGGGACATGGGGACTCCCGTTCTCCCGATCACATTCCCACCATCCCAGTTCCCATTACTCTGGTCCCGTTCCCCGTTCTCTCCGTCCCATTCCTGTTCTCTCCGTCCCGTTCCCGTTATCCCGCTCCCCATTCCCATTCTCCCAGTTCCGTTCCCGTTGTCCCGTTCCCATCATCCCGGTTCCGTTACCCCATTCCCATTATCCCGGTTCCATTGCCGTTATCCCTGTCCCATTCCTGTTCCCCTGATCACATTCCCACCATCCCAGTTCCCATTACTCTGGTCCCGTTCCCCGTTCTCTCCGTCCCATTCCTGTTCTCTCCGTCCCGTTCCCGTTATCCCGCTCCCCATTCCCATTCTCCCAGTTCCGTTCCCATTGTCCTATTCCCACCATCCCGGTTCCATTGTCATTGTCCCCATCCCGTTCCCGTTATCCCGCTCCCCATTCCCATTCTCCCAGTTCCGTTCCCGTTGTGCCGTTCCCATCATCCCGGTTCCGTTACCCCATTCCCATTATCCCGGTTCCATTGCCGTTATCCCTGTCCCATTCCTGTTCCCCTCCCATTCCCGTTATCCCAGTCCCGTTATCCAGATCCAATTCCCTTCATCCCCGTCCCATTCCCGTTCTCCTGATCCCGCTCCCTTTATCCCGCTCCCATTCCCGTTCTCCTGGACCCGTTCCCCTTATCCCAGTCCCATTCCCGTTATCCCAATCCCGTTATCCGGTCCAATTCCCTTCATCCCAGTCCCCATTCCCGTTCTCCCAACCCCATTCCCCTTATCCCGGTTCCGTTATCCCAGTCCCGTTATCCGGTCCAATTCCCTTCATCCCGGTCCCCATTCCCGTTCTCCCAATCCCGTTCCCCTTATCCCAGTTCCGTTATCCCAGTCTCGTTATCCGGTCCAATTCCCTTCATCCCGGTCCCCATTCCCGTTCTCCCAATCCCGTTCCCCTTATCCCGGTTCTGTTATCCCACTCCCGTTATCCAAGTCCAATTCTCTTCATCCCCGTCCCATTCCCGTTCTCCTGATCCCGCTCCCTTTATCCCGCTCCCATTCCCGTTCTCCCAATCCCGTTCCCCTTATCCCAGTTCCGTTATCCCAGTCTCGTTATCCGAGTCCAATTCTCTTCATCCCATTCCCGTTCTCCCGACCCCCTTCACCTTATCCCGGTTCCGTTCCCGTTATCCCCATCCCATTCCCCTTCTCCCGGTCCTGTTCTCCCGGTCTCGGTTCCTGTTATCCCGCCCTCTGCTCCCGTTCTCCCGGTCCCATTCCCGTTCCCCTCTCCTGATTCCCGTTCTCCCAGTTCTGTTCCCGTTATCCCGCTCCCACTGTCCCGGTTCCCGTTCTCCTGCTCCCGGTGCCGTTATCCCTGGTCCATTCCCGTTATCCCTGTCCCATTCCCACCATCCCGGTTCCCGTTATCCCTGTCCTGTTCCCGCTGTCCCAATTCCGGCTCTCCAGGACCAATTCCCATTCCCGTTCTCCCGATCCCGTTCCCTTTATCCCGGTTCCATTCCCGTTATCCCTGTCCCATTCCCATTCCCACCATCCCGGTCCCATTCCCGTTCTCCTGATCCCGTTCCCTTTATCCCGGTTCCATTCCCGTTATCCCCGTCCCATTCCCATTCCCGTTCTCCTGATCCCATTCCCGTTCTCCTGATCCCGTTCCCTTTATCCCGGTTCCATTCCCGTTATCCCTGTCCCATTCCCATTCCCACCATCCCGGTCCCATTCCCGTTCTCCTGCACCCGTTCCCCTTATCCCGGTTCCATTCCCGTTATCCCTGTCCCATTCCCATTCCCCCCATCCCGGTCCCATTCCCGTTCTCCTGCACTCGCTCCCCTTATCCCCGTCCCATTCCCGTTCTCCTGCACTCGCTCCCCTTATCCCCGTCCCATTCCCGTTCTCCTGCACTCGCTCCCCTTATCCCCGTCCCATTCCCGTTCTCCTGCACTCGCTCCCCTTATCCCCGTCCCATTCCCGTTCTCCCCATCTCATTCCCGCCATCCTGGTTCCCCTTATCCTGGTCCCGTTCCCATTCTCCTCATCCCGTTCCCTTTATCCCGGTTCCATTCCCGTTATCCCTGTCCCATTCCCATTCCCACCATCCCGGTCCCATTCCCGTTCTCCTGCACTCGCTCCCCTTATCCCCGTCCCATTCCCGTTCTCCCCATCCCATTCCCGCCATCCTGGTTCCCCTTATCCTGGTCCCGTTCCCATTCTCCCGGTCCCGGTTCCCTTATCCCGGTCCCGTTCCCCTTATCCCGGTCCCGTTCCCATTCTCCCGCTCCGGTACCTTGAGCTCGGCGATGGTGAGCGAAGGCGAGAAGCGTTTACAGGCACGGAAAGCGTTCAGGGAGCTGCTCACCGCCAGCCACACCGGGCCCGGCCCGGTCCCGCCGCCGTTCATGGCTCCGGTACCGACCGGGCCCTGCCGGTACCGCCCAACCGGAACCGAACCGGGAGCCCCGGACACACCCAGGCTCCTCCGGCAGCTCGCCGAGCCCCTCCGGGAGCCTCCGGGTCTCCCGAACCGGGACCCCCGAACGGTTCCGGGCCCGCCCGAACCGGAGCCGCTTCTGGAACCTTCACGGGCCGCCACAGCCGGGACCGGTGAGGGAGCGGCCAATCAGAGCTGCCAGATGAGATCACGTGAGAGAAACCGACCAATAGCGATCGAGAAAAGGTGGGACTAAGAGAAAATTACCCAATAGAGGCATAAAGGGCGGGATAAATGAGGGTTGGCCAATAGGAAGAGAGAAAGGGAGGGGAAAATAGAAGCTCAGCCAATAAGAATAAGAGTGGGGCGTGTCTAAGAGTGGATGACCAATAAAATAAAGAATGGGCGGGGTAAATAGAATCGGCCAATAGGAGTAAGGGAGCCCGTCTAAGGGAGTGTTGACCAATGAGAAGCTGGAAAGTGAATGATTGACGGGTGGTTTGACCAATGGAATGAGGGAGGAGGCGGAAAGGGGCGTGTCCGCGCAGCCATGGACGGGGACGGCGCGTACGAGCCGGGCTTCGTGGGGATCCGGTTCTGTCAGGAATGGTGAGGGAAAACACGGGGAAAACACCGGGAATGTGGGGGGGAAAACAGCGGGAATGCGCCGGGGATGAATGGGGAGAGGCGGGGGGGACAAGCGGGGTGCAGCGGGGAACGGCGGGAATCGTGAGGGGAAAACGGGAATCCTGAGGGGAAAGATACAGAGGATTGTGAGGGGAAAAGCTGGAATTGTGAGGAGGAAAACTGGGAATTTGGAGGGGAGAACGGCGGAAATGATGAGGGCAAAAACTGGGAATTGTGAGGGGAAAAATATCGGGAAATGTGAAGGGGGAACAGTGGGAATTGTGAGGGGAAAACATCGGGAATTGTGAGGGGAAAAATACTGTGGATGGTGGGGGGAAAAACGGGAATTGAGAGGGGAAAATATCGGGAATTGTGAGGGAGAAAAATATTGGGAATTGTGATGGGAAAAATACCGGGAACTAAGGGAAAAGCGGCAGGAATCGTGAGGGAGAAGTTGGGAATTGTGAGGGAGAAAAACCGGGAATTGTGAGGGGGAAATGTGTGAATTTTGAGGGGGAAAAAAGGGGAAGTGTGAAGGAAAAATCCGGGAATTGTGAGGGGAAAACATCGGGAATTGTGAGGGAAAAAATTCAGGGAATCGTGAGGGGAAAAATACAGAGGATTGTGAGGGAAAA